ATACATCATACATCCAGATTTATAGCATGCTAAGGCTGCCAAGCCAGAAGTATCTACAGTTCACATCCAAGAGTCATCCAAACACGTGAGACCCCCAGTGGCGTCAGAACTCTGATACAGATAACCTCTACAATTTTATGACTTCTGTTTTTACTCAAATTTTGCGATTGTCATCACTGGGAACTGTTCCACCGCTAAGATTTCAAACTTCCATCTTTGATCCCAAGATCTACCTCAACCATTGCCGTGCTCTCCATCTTTATGGTGCACACCATCCCCAGTGCCTCATAGCTTGCTTATTTTCCTGGTCTAGTCAGGCCTCTCCCTGCTAGCCTGAATTCCATGGCCAGGCATTTTAACCATGCTCTCACTGGCTTCCAAGATTACCACACTGCTAATCCACTATATGCGTCCTCCCAATTCCCAGCATATTTGCTTCAGTTTTTATTTCTACTTCTGGGCCTAGCCCTGCAAAATTCAGACCATCTTACTCTAAATGGATTCTCAAAAAATTGTTTCTTCCCTCCATGTCAGCTTTTCCCCATATTACCAGGCATCTTTCCTTCTCTAAGGTTTCAGGGAAAGAGATGTCCCTGAATCCTTTCCAAGGATAATTCATCTGGATATCACTGCCTTCCATCTTCTCCAGGATCTTACTCAACTCCTTAATATCCTCAATTTCACCCTCTCCCTTGACCTTAACCCTGATTCTCTCATGTTACTTTTTCATTTCTTTCCATTCATTCTTGAAAGAATACTGAGTTCACATCACCTTTGTATGCTAACTTCTCATAACACTTCTGATTTTCTGATTTGCAATCTGGATTCTCCCTTTACAAATAGCTCTTTCCGATTACCAATTACCAATATGACAATCTGTCCACTGTCAAATCCAATGGGATTTCCCCATTCTGCATTACTTATATCACTGATAACCACTTCTCCTGTAAACTTTCTCCTCTCTGTCCTTCCTTATCACTAAATTGTCTTGGTCTTCCATTTCTCTAACCACTCCAGCCCTATGTCCTTCTTTGGCTTCACTTTCCATAGCTGGACCATAACTGTGATCACACTGTATGAGGCTGGCCTTAGCTGCTTTTGCCTACATCCTCTCATGATGATCCACTCACTGTGACAGTGGTTAACTCCTAAATCCTGGCATGTCTTCACACTGTCTGTCACCTTTCTGACATGGCTGGGTAATTTTATATTAAAGAGATTACAATGGACATCCTCTTATAGCACACAACTGGATCCCATGTTGGTCATTTAATTTTTTTTTAAGATTTATTTATTTATTTTAGAGAAAAAGAGAGCACAAGTGGGAGGGACAGAAGGAGAGGGAGAGAGAATCTCAAGCAGACTCCACATTGAGCATGGAGCCCAACACGGGGCTCGATCTCCCAACCCTGAGATCATGACTTGAGGTGAAATGAAGAGTAGGGAAGCACCACTGCACCACTCAGGAGCCCCGGTAATTGAATTTTTAAAAAAGCAGTTAATATAGGAATCCATTAAAAACACATGTACAAACACTTTAATATAAAATATAACCATACTTCAATTCGTGAATTTTTTGAGCATAGATCCACTGATTGAAAATTCTTGCATAAGCTACCATAACACCGTGAATAAAATTTCCAGGCTATTTTAAAAAGCAGAGCAGGAATTTAAGATGTTTGAAACAATCCATGTATGGAACCTTTCAGGATTTTTATTATTTTTTCCCAATTCTTTTCTAATTCTGAATTTTACCTTTTGCAGCAATTTTAAAATCTATTTACCTATTTTACCTATACCAAGTCTTCCAAAGCTGTCAACTTAGTTTTCTTACAAACAGTTCTCCTTAACACTGAGGTTTCATCATTTTCTCTGATATTTAATTGAACTGCAGATTATAATAACAAGTATAAATGAGTTGGAGAGCAAACAACTCACCCTGGGTGAGCATTCAATGCAAGTAGTGGAAATAAAAGTATTTGGGTGTACTGGGGAGTACCTATCAGCCTTGAGTATTCAGCATGCTCTGGGTATCAGTCAGTACATCCTGTGGAGAACGATGGTTAATTTGGTGAGGCGCTTAAGTGAAGATAGAATGAGTCTGCATAGAAAGCCATGTTAAATTAGGAATGATGGCGGTACGAGCAATATCCAATCCAGTGGCGCAATATTTCTAGACTTATACTTTAAAAATCTTACGAGTGATTTTTTAGATTTATACATGGAATGACAATTTTTTTTTTTTAAAGATTTTATTTACTCATTTGAGACACAGACATACAGAGAGAGAGAGAGAGAGCATGAGCAGGGAGAGAGGCAGAGGGAGAAGCAGGCTCCCCGCTGAGCCAGGAGCCCGATGTGGGGCTCGATCCCAGGACCCTGGGATCACGACCTGAGCCGAAGGCAGACGCTTAACGGACTGAGCCACCCAGGCGCCCCAAGAATGACAATCTATTTTTAAAATTAAAATGGAAAAATGATAAATAATGCCTAATGAACAGACAGGTCTATTCATGGCCAATTTCCTATGTCCTTAAGCACTGTGAAAACTTTATTTACTCTACACATGCTTACAATAATAGAATTCCTTCCCCACTGAAAATAAAAATTAAAGATTTCTGAAATCCTACCCTCCTTTTTCTATTGTTTAATATTCAAGGGACTATCATTTAAAAGTTTTTTAAAAATGCAATATTCGGGGGAGGGGCGCCTGGGTGGCTGGTTGAGCATCTCACTCTTGATTTCAGCTCAGATCATGATCTCAGGGTTGTGAGATGGGAGCCCTGTGTCGGGCTCTGCACTGAGCAGGGAGCCTGCTTAAGATTCTCTCCCTCTGTCCCTCCCCCCACCCCCACCCGGCTCTCTCTCTCTCTCTAAACAAACAAAAAACAAAGAAATATTCAGGGAACAGAGAAAACCTTCCTGCTAATATTTTAAAAAACGAACAATAAATAGCCAGTCTCAATAATATTGTAGAGCCATGCTACAAGACGGCACCTGGGAATGTACTAACATCCGTGGGGTACAGAGGAAGAATCCGGAACGTGGATGATACTGATCTGTACCACTATCTTTGAGGGTTACTAATTTCGTTTTTGTTCCCCAAAGTTAGCCTTTTACCAACTTAGAAAAAAAGCTTCCAAATACAACTACAAGAGTTGAATAAAACAATTAGACAAAGTAACATCTTTTGCTTTCCTGTAACCTATATCGGAAAACCAAAGACAACATTCAAACAATATAAGAAACTGTTAAAATTTGTATGATTTTTCTCCTTTCTTTTTTCCTCCTTCCTTGGTGAATGTCTTGAAAGAACAGTTACATTTCTCCTTTACTCATGCTTTTGAAATATTAGCAAAACCCTCAGAAGGAAAGAATTTTCAATGAATATTGGTACTAAAAATTTTTGATATGATGAAATAATCAATTTACAGTTTGTTCAAACATAAGAGCTTTACTTGGCTTATGGGTGGGTGGGATGCGCCGTTACATGCCATACCATAATTAGGCACATGTGTATAAATGAGATATGTCAGCATTAATTGAATTATTCTCTTGAGTAATATGTAACACTACCTAACCTTTTTACAAATGGCTGGCCTCTTCTTTTACTGTGAATACTGTCATACCAAAAAAAAAGGGGGGGGGGGGAAGGCTCCAGTACTGAGATGAAGTGAAGTTGACATTTTGCATGATCTGTGTCCCTGCCTGTCTTTCAGTATTAACTTGATTGCTTTTTTCCTTCTCCTAATGTTATATAAGAAGATACTAGCCTACAAAAAGAAAGAATGAGAGGGAAAAGAACATTTTATGAGGATTTCAAATCTTATTTTCAACCACAGATGGAAAATAACGTACATGAGTCCTGGTGCACAAACTGATTAGGAATAATGATAACCATGAGAACACATTCTATCACACGATCACTTAACATTACCCTCAGCAAACTAGCCACAAACTCAATCATTGTACTGTAACTGTACTCAGGTAAACAGATCTTCCAGCCAAACAAGTCTGTTCAATTAGAGTCACAGCAGGAATAGCCTTTATACCTTTTATCTTGAAGGTTAGTCATTTTCCCAAAACACCTAAACAGACCATACACAATTCAACTGTAAATGATAAATGGGACAATCTTTACTCATTCAGTAAATCTTAGTCAATACTAACTTCTATGTGAAATACAATAAGCATAAAACTAGTTTAATGTGTACTATAAAAGGCAATAATTCAAAGCCTTCCTAGTTACTGGGATGAGTCTGTCAGAGAACACTGACTTCTCTGAGTAACTGCTTATCAGCAATTGAAAAACAGTGTGCTGGAAGGGTTCGGAGCTGCTGGAGCTGCTGGAGAGTTTGTGGTTTTCTCTATTTTGCACTAGTGCTGTTCCTTGACCAGCAAGGGTCAACACGACCTGGAGTTATTTTTCCAGTGCCCCACCTTCAAAAGGTCCCTAAAATGAAAAGGCAATGCGGGGTGCTTTTGGTATCTCAGAATACAGTTCACAGAGCATCTCATTTTACAGGTGGAGAAACCAAGCAAGAGATTAAATTAAGGCAAGAGACTTATCCAAAGTTACAAGACAATGGCAGAGCAGGACCCAGCACCAAACACCTTTTGGAAGTTTCAGGTGACTGATGGATCGATCGCATCTCTTTCTTTATCACCATGCCCTCTCCACATGGCCCAGACTGTGCACACGAGAAACCAGAATCTTCTCAAACTAGGATTCACAACAACCTCAAAGTTAGGACTATGCCATCCTAACATATTACTTGCAACGGTCATCAGCAGAAACTTTCACTTAGTATATGTGTTATAGCTCAAAGGATATCAAAACCAGTTGTGATTAAATAAAACTTACAAAAACAGGATTAAGTAAACTTTTTTTTTATGTAAACTGATTTAAAGAAAAAGGAATGAGTTCATCATCAAGAGAGAACATCTGACATCAATTAATTCTCATTTACTTTAAAGTGAAGAATTAAACACAAAATTACCTTTGAAGGTTTCGAGTTCCTTCCTGTAGAAAAAAAAAATGTAAATTTTATTTATTTGAAGTATAATTACATAGTGTTATATTAGTTTCAGGTGTACAACATAAATGATTCAACAATTCTATACATTGCTCAGTGCTCACCACAATAAGTGTCGTCACCAACTGTCACCAAACATTAATACAGTATTATTGACTATATTCCCTATACTGTACTTTCCATCTCTGCGACTTACTTATAACTAGAAATCTGTACCTCTTCATCCTCTTTACCTATTTCCCTCATTCCTCTACTCCCCTCCCCTCTGGCGACCACCAGTTTGTTCTCTGTATTTAAGAGTCTGGGGTTTTTTTATCTGTTAAGAAAATGTAAATTTTAAAATAATCTATTCTTACTGGAAACTGCTCTTATATTTTAATAAAAAGGCATATACTTTAAAAGCCCAGAGTGGTGTTTCTGGATGTTCCCACATGCTTTACTGAAATTACCAATACAATTAGTCTAAAGTAACTGAAATTACCAATACAATTTTTCAGTTTTTCTGCTATTACTTTACTAATGGCTTAAAAAAATTCTACCAGAATTTAAACAATTAAAACACTTATTAAAACAAAACATTTTACTTATTTATTTATTTTTAAAGATTTTTATTTATTTATTTGACAGAGAGAGACACAGTGAAAGAGGGAACACAAACAGGGGGAGTGGGAGAGGGAGAAGCAGGCTTCCCATGGAGCAGGGAGTCTGATGTGGGATTTGATCCCAGGACCCTGGGATCATGACCTGAGCCGAAGGAAGACGCTTAACGACTGAGCCACCCAGGCGCCCCACAAAAAGCATTTTAATACCAGTTATGAATCATCTCATATATGTAAGAATCAATTTATAAAAGCACTTAACAATTGGCTCAATATTAAATAACAGATTTTTGAGATCTTTGGTTAATAATCATCCAGAATAAGAACAGTTATCTCCCCTTTTAAGTGAAAGAGGAAAGCACATATCAAAGGACTGGGGTCCACAGCTCATCCTGATATAAAAGGGCCAAGCTTCCAGGACATGCTCTGGTTTGTCATTTTGTCAGTGTCAATTAAGGATCCTGAGACACCAAGTTTCCTGGGGAAATGTACAGCAGCAGAAAATAGATGAACAATCATAAGACAAAACATTTTTGACAAAAAGTAAGTTGTTTTCAGGTTTTCCTTCCTAATTTTTTAACTAGATTTTCCCTCTTTATCGGTACTGATAAGAAGTACTATTGAGGAGGTGAGTTTATTTAGTTAAAGCTTGTTATCTCACTCAGAATAGGAGACTTTATCTCTTACTTGCACTCTAGGTTTTTCTAAACATCGAGGGCTGTTTTGAATTCGCAAGTCAGTTTTCCACACCACTAATTACAATACCCCTCATGTTCCAAAATAGTTGACTGCAATCAACAGCTGGTGGGGGGACGGGCAATGAGCCTGCTGGGAGGCCAAGCATGGATTACTCCTGTCACAGCCAAGGAAAGGCTCTGAAATCAGACGGTCACCTCACTCTTTTTTTCCAAAACACCCGATTCCTCCTAACAGCGCTTCAGCAACATAGTTCGTTAACTGAGACAAAGAATGTTATTTTCAATCCCATCTTAAAAAAAAAAAAAATAATGCAACTGTTTCCCTTCAGCCAGCAGTCCCACTTCATTCTTGAAAGATTAATTAGGTACAAGTTAAACGTGCCTAAAACTTACTTTATCCTCCAATAAAGGGATGAAACTGAAAATACCTGAGAGGCAACATGGATTGTCAGAGAACATCTTGCAAAGACACCTTCGAAGTGCTTCCCACTGATGCCCTCCCAGGAGCAATTCCCCAAGCCCCTTGAGAGGTGGAAGGGATGACAGAGCCCTCAGTTCCATATTCTAATGAGTAATTCTTTTCTGATTAGGAGCTTTAGAACACGCTGGCTTTCTGTCTTTTAGAATGTGTAACACTGAGCAAAATTCCCAAAAGGCATCTTCTGTTTTAAAAAGCTGGAACTCAAGAGTAACAATCTCAGAGATGTTTCCCCTACTCCCACCCCCAAATCCCCAAATCCCAACAACTAAAAGCCAGACAAATCATCTATTTCCTTGATGGGTAGCTGCCCAATGGAGGAAAGCTGCCTCTCATTAGGAGGTGGGTGCTCACCTCTCAACCTTCGGGCTGCCCCGTCACCTCAACGGGAAGGTGTTGCCCGGGAAATGGGGAGAAGCCTAGCAGCGCCGTGTCAGTGTCCTCTATTTACGGAATATCATGACCCACACTGTTAGTAAAATCTCCGAGAAACTTCCTTCCAGACAGGAAATCATTCCCATACCCACTGCCTAAAAAGGAACACTGGCTGAGGTAGCGAAGGGAAGGATAACCATGGTGTAAAGGAAAAATCAGTGTCAGGGAACTTTGAAAGGACTGATACAGTACAGCAGCGGCACTGAAAGCCTTGAAATTTCCTGGTTTTTAGGGCAGACCTCACATTTATTAGGGATCATAAGCATCTGGAGGTACAGGCGACAGAAGAGAAGAGAGGGAAAGGCTTGCCAAGCAGACGTGACAGTGAGACTGAAGGCACGAAGGTCAGATGATGCAGGTTATAGATTTAGGCAAGAGCAAGCACTTGAGAACAATGGGCTGAATGAAGAGAAACGTGTGGGAGACAAGGTTAAAAAGGTAGAGGGTTCTGAGTGCCAGGCTAAAAGGATCTGGTTTTATTTTTAGCAGACTAGCAGGAGCAAAGCTGTGCTTTAGGAAGAGCATTCTAGCTGTGATGGATAGATCTACCGACAAGGGGGAGAATAAAAGCAGGGAGTACTCAGGAAACTACAGAGGAGTTTGAAGAAGAGCTAATTAGTGCCTGGGAAGAGCAACTTAAGTGGCAAGGGCGATGAACAGGAGGGGTCTGGTTTGCAAAATGCTATGGAGAAGACTCAACAGTCCCGGCAACTGATCCCATGGGGATAAGCGGAGGAAGGAGAGGAGGACATTCACCGTGGAGGTTCCGGTCTGCACCGCTGGAGGAACGTGAGTCTATTAATAATGGAACACTTGGGAAGAGGAACAGTGTGTGAGTTCAGTTCGGAATTTGATGAAATAATCTGGTGATGTTGAAAGACACGATGCCCACCCCGCTGAGGCGGCTACTCAAAAATGTAGCTCCTACAGATTTCTCCCCGACTTCCCAGTCTTGGGCGGATTCCAACTTGGCTTCCAGACCCCACCCCTGCAGAGTCAAGGTCACCAACCTTGTTGTTGCCAAATGCAATGATCACTTCTCACTTTTCATCTGAATCCCTCAGCAGCATTTGACCCAACTGGCAATCCCTTGAGAAAGTTCCCTCTAGTTTTTCCTGCTTTCTTGGATTCTTTTGCTAGCCCCTCCACCTCTCCCAGACCACAGCACTGGATTGCTCATGGCAAGACTGGTTTTGGGCTCTCTCTCTCGCTCTATCCTTCACTCACATTCTCTCATAAGGCAATTTCACCTAGCTATGTAGCCTTAAATATCAACTATACGTGGACTTCTGGACTTATATTTCCTAACTTGATCTCTTCTCTGAGCTCCAGACTCCCATGCAACTGCGTGTTTGAGATCTCCACTCCAGCGGAGCAGGCTTCTCAAACAGCACGTGTGAGACAGCCTACTCTTCTCCAGGCTCCTGAGTATCATTAACGGCATCACCAACTTCCTCAAGTACGCTTTATCCGTTCCTTCATTCTTCACATCCAATGCATCAAGAAACCCTGTCACTTCTATCTCAAAACAGACCCTGAATTCATCCATTTCTCTCCATCACTGTTATCAACCTTGTACCCATTTTCTTATACCGACTGTAATTTTTGCTGTGTTCAATCATTCATTCAACAAAAATTTATGAGCCTTAGACATTAGGAATAGTGCTAGGTTTGGAATATGCATGTCTCATAACCTCAAGGGACTCCAGTGAGAGAGACAATTAGAAATTGATCTTACAGATGGGTGCTCTGGTAACGACAGGCTGAGGCTTCTCGAGGAATAAAGAGGGAGCAATGCGTACACCTTGGTTTGTAGCAAAGGCTTTCTGGAGGAGCAAGGACGGGCCTGAGTTTTGCAGGATGATGGGTAACGCTTACTGAGGACACGGCAGATATTTTACTTGTAACCATTATATCACTCTCTCAGTTAACCAAATGAAAGGCATAGGTTAAGCAGGTGTTTTAAGTTCTGGTCACTCTCCAAACTCTATTAGAAATGGAAATGACAATGATCAGTGTGGAACAGTTTTCAAGTTCACCTTTGACACCCAATAGGCGATCTCCCCTTATCTAAACTCCTATAGTGCTTAACTCTTATTGGTGTTATAAAACTTCATGTGATGTAGTTATTTCTGTACAGACATCATCTCTACAGTTATGGGCTTGGCGTGCAGAAGTCCTGTCTCACCTACTGTGACCATCCACGTGCAGAGTCGGACCCAACTGACACTCAGAAAATCAAGGAATGACTAAGATCTGCTTCTTCAAGGAAGCCCTTGCTGCAAATATAGAGAAATTTTTTTAAAAGATTTTATTTATTTTTGAGAGACAGAGAGAGAGAGAGAGAGCACGAGCAGTGGGGAGGGGCAGAGGGAGAAGCAGGGAGCCCGACACGGGGCTCGATCCCAGGATCATGACCCGAGCCAAAGGCAGACGCCCAACTGACTGAGCCACCCAGGCGCCCTGAGAATTTTATTCTTTATAAAAAAAGTCTGATCACAAAGTATCTCATGTGTTTGCCACTTTCATTTCCAAAAATTTGAGTCTCTTATTTTTCATAGTTTAATAGTATTTTCAAAGCTCAAATAAGTAGAAAGAACTGAAATACTCTCTCTTACTTAGGTTTTACCATATTTTAAAATGTACTCGGTTCAGCAAATGCCTTTACAAAATTCAGCATAATGAACCCTGAAACTAAAACATTCAACAAATAACACCAGACTCAAAATCTAACAATATTTCCAAAGGGTGAAAGTGCTATTTAATCTTTTTCTCTA